ATCCGTGGTAAGTGGAAGCATGCGTAATTCCTTTATCACAGGATGGACATGGTAGAGAAGAAAACATCTGATCAGATCTTTACTTCCCTAAGAGGTAACTAAGTCAACAATATTTTTCTCCAGTTATTCACTGACAACCATGTCTAGTTTTTTCACAACATCTTCCATGTGTACATTAAAATTTGATGAAGCTTCACAATACAGCATGTTCTGCTGAGCATCCCTGTAGACAATGACAAGACTGATAAGCATTTAAAAAGACGCCCTACTAAGGTTGCAAAAATACAGAAATGTGTTTGGTTTTGTTTTGTTGGGGGATTTTTTTCCAGAAACAGACTCTTCTAGAGTGAATGAAAAATGCCCTAAATCTTAAGCAATTTGGGAAATTGTCTACTCCATGATTGCCAGAGTTTTTCAAGACATGCACACAGAGAAAGGAAACTTTTTTGAAAGTGATACCAACACTAGTTTTACAACAGAACTGTCTTTGCAGGCTTCATTCTGAGCAAGTGAAGGCCCTCCACCAGTTGGCCATAATAGCCTTTTAAAGAAAAGAACAGACGTTGTTGCTGTAGCTTCAGAAATCAGTCATCCAATGCAGAAACCAAGGGAAGATTTCTCTTCTAATTTTGAGCTGCAATGAACCAACCAGCCCAAGTTTCCCTATCTCACACAGAGCAACAATAAAAAAAATAAGTGTAAATCAGTGGAGCTGAAAGAAGAATATGCCGTGAAAACCTTATCTGCTGGCTTGTCAGCACTCAAAATCCAGAAAGCTTAGATTACAGCTGCATCATTCGTAGCAAAATTTCAGCATATGAAGTTTCTGCATGTATTCTTTTGAAATGCCATTTTTAAATACTTGCTGATGCAATGCAAAATGTTTTCTCATGAAAAGCCCTAGCCTTTTTAATCAAAGAATGTCTCTTAAGCAGTCAGCCCATTTTAAAGTTGAATCACTGTAAACTTTAACATTCTGCCTTCAGCAACAGGGAAGATAAACATTTTGTTCTGTTCACCGAGGTGAATCTTGGGTCTCTAAAGCAAACTGTATACTCCATAATGAAAACTGAAAATGAAAGGTGCAAATTTTCTGCTACTGATGATACACTCCAGCTGCAGAGAGCACCTAGGGGAGATACACAATCTCACATCACATAACAGCCCAGGAAATGCGGAATAATGAGTGGCATCAGGTCTGCATTAATCAGTGGACATGTCTGTAATATTGGAAAACAAATGGGCAGTGAAAGAACCAAGAGTGCGAGCATCTACAAAACCCCAAATCAGTGCCCATTAGATGAATTTAGCATCCAGTGATTCTAACAAAAAAACAAAGAGAGAGGGAGATGGAGATGATGAATCTGGAGGGGAAAAAAAAAACCACAACAAAACCAAAACCACAACCAAATCCCGAACAAACAGATGCATTCTACATCACTTACATCTTACTGGCTATGAGTATCATATACCCCCTGGCAAAGCAGGCTAGCACAACAATATGCCTGAATTCCTTGTAGGGGTCATACGCTGCACAGCTTTGTATATCATAACTTTCATGCTTACCCCCACCTCCCACAAGGGCTCAGCATGGGAGAACAACCCTGCTTATGGAAATGGATAAACCAATGCAAACTTGCATTGTTATTTCAGTCCTATTACGACCAACTGCTGGTTTTGTATTTCACAACTTGTACAAAATTATAGTAGCTGGTACTGAAAGCTTTGAAAGTTAGAAGATTTTCTGTCTCAGAGTTACTTTGAATATATTGATATTATTATCAGCAAACTCAAAGTAACACAATTACCATCTCAAGTAAGAAACTTGTCTGTTTTGCTGCGCCTCTACTAAGAACTGCAATAAACCCACCTTGTTCCCTGTTACTTGCACAACTGATTTCATAGTCTGCCATCCATTCCCACAAATGTTGACACAGAGATGTGAACAACCAACCTGGAGTAAGTCTGCATGTCAAAAGAAGAAACTATCCATTTTGCATTTGGAAGCTGAAATCCTGATACAGAATATAGAACAGAAAGGTCTGGTTTGGTTTTAGGCAAAACACTGATTTTTCCTCCTTGATGTTCAATTACAACCGTCAGCTAGTCTGAAGTAAAGCAAATCCTGTTCTTTTAATGTGTTCTCAGCTGGCAGACAGCATTTTACAGAATAGGACATAAGCAGCTGTCTAGCCAGTATTACACTAAGTTTAGTTAATGGCTAATCTGGCATTTGTTCAACAGTGTACTTCAAATGGCAACACAGAGAAGGTGCATAAAAAGAAAAAAGACTAAGCTCTATCTTCACCACCTCATTTATGTGTCTGATGGAAATGATAACATATCAGAAGTGCCAGCACTCTAGTGAAAGCTGGCATGTAAATATTTGTGCATTATGCAAGATAGTCAAGCCCTGACTGGCTGTCCTTTTCCATATTTCTAGCAATAACAGAAACTGCAGTTCAGATAAGAAAAAGCTATAAAGCTTTACAGCACAGAATTTAAAACAGTTTAAAATGATCGTTAGTAAGAACCTGAACATGTAAAATGCTAAATGCATCCAAGGTCTGAGTAATCTCAGTTATCTGGGAATAAAAAGTACTCAGTGCTATTCAGAAGGACCTGGCTTCTTGCCAGATTACCTAGGAAACTACACATGAAGTTTTCAAATGACAAATACATCATGTCTTGAGTTTAAATAAATTTTGGTGCTCTGTTCGGCTTTTCTGAAAACATGAAATCAGATTACTAGTAGTGTGCACGGCTGGTTTTTAAAATCTGCCCCCCCCTCCTCCCCACCCCCACACACCTACTTCAAGCAAAATCAGGTAGCAAAATCAGTTGATAGCAACCAAAAAACATTTCCATCTAAGGACAGCGCATCCACTTTTGTACATGAGCTTAGAGGTATCAAGCAAGTTCCCAGATTGCAAGGTTGCCAGCACATCCATGCTCAGTGGCAACTGTACCAACTGCCAAGTACAGAAGTGGTAGTTGAAAGCTAACTGTTCTCCTTTCCCTAGTGATGGTCACTGTCCTCCGGCTGAGGCAAACTGGTGAAACACACAGCAGAATGGGCAGAGCTGTTGCCTCTGCTGTAGGTTCTCCGTGGAGAAGCAAGGCAGCCATCTCCAGGGTTCTTGGATTTCATATGAATTGCAGTTTTAACCAACTGACTTTGTAAGTTCCACCGAACCAGTCAGTTTTTCGTCCATTTTGTAGCCCAAAAATCCAGACCCTACCTTCCTTAAGGATATCTCCCTCCCCATATCTACCACACTTCTTCCAATTTCTCCTACAAATACATTAAGTCTACTCTGAAAACAAAATAAATAACAATAGCTACTCTCCCTTCATCGACAGAGCCAGTTATTCATCACTAATGCAGAGGCTGGTTAAGGATGATTTCCCCATGGTAAATCTATGTTGGTTATTCCCAATCACATGCACCAGTTTCCGTTTCTCAACAAGCTTTGGCTTTCCCAATTCCATCCCTGCATGCCCAGGCAATGTCTCTATACTGCTCCTTAGCAGTCCATCACCTCTTTTAGTAAGAGGTCTAGAGTCCTCTGTTCAAACCATCCTCCTGCTATGCCTGTCTGTTTTCTTGCACATGAGCATAACTCTTGTGCTTTGAGGAAAATGCCCTTGAAGATCAACCAGATCTCTGCACTTCAGGGCAGCCTCACACAGGATCCCGCGTGCCAGTTTGCCAAACTAGGCAAAGTCCACTCTCCTGATTTCTAGGATTTTTTATTTTGTTATTTGCCATCTTCACTTTCTTCAGGGTCTTAAACTGTTATCTCTTGGCCACCAAAACTAAGGCTGCCACTGTCATATCCCCAACAAGTTCCTCTTTATTTATAAGTAGCAAACCCAGCAGAATGCCTCTCCTAATCATGTATCCCACTACTTGCAACAAAAATTTCGCTCCGACACACTCGAGGAATCTTCTGGATTGTTTGTGTTCCATCATGCTGCCCTGAGTAATTAAAGTGTATTTACAAACAACTATTTTTAACTCCCTCCCATTTGTTTACAATCTTACACTGAGAATAGTTCCTCACCACTGAGCTGGCCACCAGAAGCCAGGAAAATGCCCAAGAATCTCTTACGTTGTTGGAATAATTTTTAGCCTGAGAAATCTATTGGGTAAAATGTGATTCCTTACACAGCAGCATGTATCAGAAATATTATTCTGTGGCCTACGTGGCTGGCCCAACCTATTATCAACAGACACCAAAAGCACAATGCAACATCTTGTGGACAGGACACAAAGTTGAACAAGTTAGCAAATTCCTACAAACATGTGAGAAGAAAGAGGACTGTCTTGTCAGCAATTCATTAGCAGGAAAAAAAAAAATAAAGAAAGAAAAGGTAATTCTTCCGCAAATAATTTAAGCAGTTTTACTCCCTACTTCAGTCAAATAAACTTCAACTTACCTATTTCCTGTATTATTTAAGTTGACAGGAGTTTCTTTTAAAAACAAATCAAAGAGATTTGATTATGCTTAGTTATCAAGACCTATTTATTGTATGTAAGTCTTATGAACAAAATTTTGGCCACTAAGTACCATGTTGTTCCAACAGAAGAAAGTGCTGACAGCTTTAATAAAAATCCACACCTCTTTGTAGTTCAGGACTTAAGGAATTCTGACACTGATTCTGTTCCATAGCACCTTTACCCTGCTCCATCAGTATGAATGGACTGAGATCCAGGTGGATCCATTTGGTAGTTTGTGACAGTAAGTAGTCCTGATTTTCTAAGGCACTGTAAGGGCTCTCAGAGCAGTTCTGAAGCTGATGAAAAGGTAACTGATATTTGACACATTAACAAGATAAAGGAAGATTTTCTAAACCTCCCATAAAAGAAGCTGTATCTTTGAGCTGTTACAATCATACCCACAGAATTATGCTGTACATTTGAAAGAAAGTGGGGAAAGAACACAACCTGTAACCCTAAATAAATATATCTATTTATTTAAAGAGCTTGATCAAACCTGGTCCAGCGGAACTTCTACACGAGTATCTTCATCTTCCTGCACTTCAGCTGCGCCCCACATTTCAGACCTATCTCCACTGGCTTTGTAAATATCTTCACCTATAATGGGAAAGATACAGAATGGAAGGCAGTGAAGTCCCATTGTGACACTGTGTGGCACAACTACTGAACTGCATTCAAATTTGTTTCTGAGAGCAGATTTCTGTGCTGTCCCTACACAGTTCTTCTAATGACGTTTTCAATCTCCCATTATTGTCAATTTGTTTTCCTTTTTAATAACAAATACTTACATGCTACACCATTTGGAGAAGAGGAAGGGGAAAAGGGGAAAAGGGGAAAAAAAGGAAAAAGTAGAAAAGAGGTGAAAAGAGATAAAAAAAAGGGAAGACAGGAAAAGGGAAATAGAGTAAAGGAAACAGAGACTAAAAAAAATCCTAGATCTGAAGTTCCTTCACTTCTGGCAAAGGTCAGGAGTCAATTTGAACTTAATACATTACAAAAACACCATGTTACTTCTATTTCTACAGACAATGATAGTACCCTCCAGTAATTAGCACTATCACACACATCTAGCAAAAATCTCAGGCCCTGAATCAACAACAAACATCATGAACCAGGACAGCAGTAAAAGATCAACAGAAACAGTTGGGATTAATGCTGCTCCCAACCCTTGGGCACATGCAAGTAGAATCACAGCTGAAACTCCATATCCACATTAAAAAAACACACACTGCTAACTAACAAGGTTAATGGTTACAATGATACTCAATTTTGCAAAGATTTTATACCATTTAGTTTGGGTAATTTTCCCCCCCCCACTTGTAAGTAATAACTAGGGGTCATCAAAGTTTCTAATATCAGATCTAATATCTAATAAGTTTTAGTATCAGCTCACTAGGAGAGCGAAGGTAAGTACATACAGAAAGAAAACAATTTCAGATGAGATACATTTCTCTTTTCCTTCATCCCAAACTGAAAACAGTCCAGAAATTAAAAGCACAGGTTACTCCAAATCATAACCCCCTCTCCCTCTCCATCTATTTAGGAAAGGCAGATGATCTTATGCTGATGTGTTCATATCCAACATCATAAGTAACTGCAATAAGGAAGAGGAAAAAACATCTGTGCTGTTTCAGACTATCTCTTAATTCTTCATAAAAGGATGTGAACTCAATAACATCAACTGACGATGCAAATTGATCAACATTGCTGGACACTATTAAATAAACAGCCCTAGCATAGCACTGAACCATTGAGAAGGAGGTAAAATAATAGACAAAACCCCAAGACTTAGAGAATCTGGAGTCTACAAGCATTAAAAGGCAGCATTGACTACTATGGAAGTTTACTTTCTTATCACTATAAGAGCCAAGGAAAGCATTTACCCTGGGAACAAAATTCTGAGGCATACCATACCACTGCAAATGGCTAACTGGAAGGAAGGTGCCAGCTCATCCAGATGGCTTTAAGTATCTACTGACAGGCCACGAACCAAAGCACCAGAAATGAAAGCTATTCTCATAGTTTAAAATTAAGAGGAAGAAAGTCTTTGTCTATGGAACATCACAATGATATTCTAGAATGGTACTGCTGGCTGCATCTTAGGAGACAGATTTTCTGATGGATAGCACCTTGACTACCTGAGCATCAGTTCCATTGATCCTCCCCACCCAACCAAAAGATCTATACTACTTGTCCTCTGAAAGTACTGGTGTTGGAAATACCTCAGGGTTCTCAGGATTATTGGATGTATTCTTATTCTAAACATCTCACACATCTTGAAAACATCCCCATCTTCATACTTAGCATGGAAATAATATTTTTCTTTTCTTAATTTCCTTTCTTTTGTAGATTATTAAATATAATTTATCTGTTGGAGCATGTTTCATTGAAACCAATTAAGGGCATCCAATATTTGCTGGCAGTATGGTAAATCTTGCAAAATCTACGTGTACGTATCTCCTTACAGATCCCCTTTACCAAGGTAGGGGGCTTGGGGTTGGTTTGTTGGGTTTTTTTTTGACCAATTCAATCAATGCACTTCACGTTTCCCATTTTTCTGAGGTCTCTAAAGGACAAAAGGTTCAGTCTCTCTTACCTGATATTATCGTCGTGGCCTCTCATCATAGACATTCAACTGAGATCTAGATCACTACCATATTCTGAGATGAAACTGCAATGTGTTCATTGAAAGCTACTGTGATGACTTTCCTAACTCAAGGCCTTCTCTGAAATACATAAGAAAATAACCTTGTCCTAGATTCCTTGGCTCAAACTATAAAAAGTCAAATCAGTTCTGAGAGAACTGCATTTAGTATCACCATCATTCCATTCAGACTCTGTAATACCATCTTTGTCTTCAAGATCTCCAAGTCTTTCAACCAAAATGGGGATTGTCTGGCATCTAGATGTAAAGGATTTTGGTGCAGAGGTAACTCTAATTAGGTTTTTCTCCTGCAGGCAAAAGAAGTACAAGTGAGGTAAGTATGTGTTGGCCCTGGAAGCCAAATCCACAAAATTCAGCTCAAGAGCTGAGGATTCTCAATTTTAAAGCACTTTTCCTTAGAAGAGTAAATCAGCCTCAGGGCTATACTGAATAACCCAGCACAAGGGGACAGATGTGCAGTATTTTCAAAAACCTCAAGCATTAAACCAGGAGGGAGTGAGAGAGAGAGAAGAAGACATTAAGTTCCTACCTGTGTCATGCAACCAATTTCCCCATTCAAAACCATGTATCCAAAAAGCTAGTAAGAGGGGAATTTCAATTAGCAAAAACTGAAATCCCCATGGGGTTTCCTCTAAGCACTTTCTACCATGTTTCTTCGCAGAAAAGTCGTCATAAATGAAAAGAGTTTAGTTGAAAAGAGTTCTGCACATCCTTCCACCATCTCTGAATACCACTGTTCATTGTCTTGCATGGAAAGCAC